TCGGCCGATACGCTCCCACAGAGAGGGTCTCCTCAGGGTGCCGTCAGCCAGACAGTGTCGGCTGGCGACCCCCAGGGGGAGGGCCTTCTCTGTTGGAGCCCCCACCCTTTGGAACGAACTACCCCCAGAGATCCGGGTGATTCCGGATCTCCCCTCCTTCCGCCGCGCCCTCAAGACATGGCTGTTTAAGCTAGCAGGATTGGCCTAAGGGGTATTTTAATTTGGTTTTAAAATAATTTTAAAAAGAAATGGCCAATAATTAATATTTCATTTTAATTACATTTTAAATTTAGTATTAGTTATCTGTTTTAACTGGCTGTAAGCCGCCCTGAGTCCGATAGGAGAAGGGCGGGGTATAAATTTGATAAATAAATAAATAAATAAATAAATAAAACCTCAAACTGCTATGACTGCTGAAAGACCCAAGCCACCTGCAGGCCCGCCAATCAAGTGCTTCCGATGCAGACAGCAGAGATATCGTGCAGCGAATTGCCCAGTCCCCTACTCCCAATAGCAGAATAGACCAGGACCAGTAGTGAGAAAGAAACCTGCCCAGCAGCCAACGAGAGAGAAATCCAACTGGATCATACAGGAATCCATTACCCAAATCATACCTCCCACACAGGAGGACGCCGGGGCTCAGGCTGGACCCGCCCCCGCTCTACCCTCTTTCAACAGTGACGATGAAGGAGAGAACGACCCAATGGTCCCACCTTTCTCACTACCTGCCAAACTCATAATCCCTAAGTTGAGGGCACAGGTAGATTTAAAAGTGCTAGTTGATTCTGGATGCTCCCGATGTGTCATTAGCTTGCCATTTGCCATGAAAATGGGCATACAGGCAAAACTGCTCTCCAAACCTGTGAGGTTTGAGCAAGCCAATGGCTCCCTGATGGGAAGGACTTTAGTCACACAATTAACTGAGCCCCTACGCCTAGAAATAGGTGAATACTAGGAGTTTATTCACTTTCTGATGGCTCCAAAAATGACAGGCTGTGATCCTAGGATTAGCCTGGTTGGACAAATGGAAGCCATTTATCTGGTGGGAGAAAAGAATGAGAACTACCTATAAAGCCTAAACCCCCCATTGATTCAACAGATGTTATAGGAAACTGTAGCCCACCTAATGATGAAGTGCATATGGCTGCCTTACTGCCACCAGGTGAACCACTCATCCCCAGTGAGTATCGGGACCTAGCGGAGGCATTTAGTGAGAAAGAATGTGATGGCCTGCCTCCTCACCGACCCAATGATTGCTCTATCAAACTCTCACGACCGAGAATGTACGCTGTGTCCCTCAAAATGGAGGAGATGCAGCGATAATGTGGATAAAAATCCAGTGAGGGGATTCATTGAATGGGCCAAGTCTGCGGTGGAGGCCCCTGTGTTGTTTAAAGAAAAAAAAAATCGGTCTCTTCGTCTCTGCGTAGACTATAAGGGTCTCAACACTGTGAGTGTGGAAAATAAATATCCCCTCCCCCTCCTGAAGGACTTACTAACCCACCTAGCTAACGGGAATGTCTTCACTAAATTAGACCTGAGAGAGGCATATTACCAGGTGAGAATAAAGGAGGGAGACGAGTGGAAAACTGCCTTCAACTGCCCCATTGGGAGCTATCAGTTCAAAGTCATGCCATTTGGACTACAGGGGGCCCCAGCCGTATTCATGCAGTTGATCAATGAAGTCCTACATTATCATTTATATAAAGAGGTTCTGGTGTATCTTGATGACATCCTGATATACAGCACCAATATGACTGATCATATAAAGCTGGTGAGAGAAGTGTTAAAGAAACTATTGAATGCCAAGCTTTATGTTAAACTGTCAAAATGTGAATTTCACCAGACCCAATTAGATTATCTTGGCTATAGAATTTCCAACAAGGGCATTGAAATGCACCCAGCCAAAGTGAAAACTGTAATTGAATGGCAGCCCCCAAAGACTTGCAAACAGCTCCAGAGCTTCTTAGGTTTTGCCAACTTCTACCGTCAATTCATCCCCTCCTTTGCCAAGATTGCCCTACCCCTTACAGAACTACTCAAAACAGGCAAAGGAGGAGGGAAGCCACGACTGGGCCAACCACTAGCATGGACTATGAGCTGTCAAACCGCTTTTGAGAATTTAAAAAGACTATTTGCTATTGAACCGGTCCTAAAGCACCCCTGCCCAGGGGAGCCCTTTGTAATTCAAGCTGACGCCAGCGACATGGCCATCGGAGCTGTATTACTGCAAAAGAACCAAAAATGGGGCCTTGCAACCCTGCGCCTACACCTCGAAAAAAAATTACTGAAAGCGAAAGGAGATGGGCAATCTGGGAAAAAGAGGCTTTCAAAATCAGATGGGCTCTATTAAACTGGAGACACTATCTAGAAGGGAACAAGGTGCCTTTTGAAGTATGGACAGATCACAAAAATCTAGAAGCACTGAAAACTTCCTGCAAATTGTCCCCAAAACAGGTGCGCTGGGCACAATACTTTAATCAGTTTAACTTCACTCTAAAGTACATTCCGGGAGGGAAAACCTTCCTAGCTGATGCTCTATCCAGACTGTCCCAGTACAAAAGCCAGCGCGAAGAGATTAACGAGGCAATTATCTCCAATCCACAAACTGCTGCTCAATTAATGCCTCGCAGGGCCCCTAATCCTGATGACCCTGGGGCAAAGAAAATAAAATAAGAGCTCCTCACCAGTCAATGGTTCAAGCACAATCAATCCTCCCTAACATGCAGGGATGGTTTGGCTTACAAGGGGGGGAAATTGTACTTGCCAGAAGCCCTCTGTCTTAACGCTCTCAAACACAGCCATGACGTAAAACAGGCTGGACACTTTGGATATTTAAAAACTCTACATCTCATCCGCCGGCAGTTCTGATGGCCGGGATTAAAACAGGATGTGGAAAATTATGCCAGGAGTTGTACAGTATGTGCCACCATGAAAAGAATTCCAGGGAAACCCCCTGGGTTACTGCAGCCGATGCTATGCTGCTCGAATAAAGATTCTTTAAGATAAACAATGCCTCAAAGTTCTTTGAAGAGTTTCATCTGTCGGAACCATGACACTCAGTGTAATATGATTCATAACAGCAGCAAAAAAGAAAATGTGACAATTATGAAGAAACAATACCATTCTTACAGACAAATGATATAAGAAAACTGTCAAACATTAGCAAATGCTCTGAAGAAATAATAAATTAATCCAATCTAGGTCAGTCATCGAGCCAGAAGTTTACTCTTCCAAGCTTCATTAATTTCCTTCATTCATATTAAATTAATAATTGCAAATGAGAAAAGAAAACTATTTTATTTAGCTAAATTTTAGAAATTTATAAAAGAATCTGCCCAATTGGTGCAAATATTAAAGAGGAAGATGCTTCTTCATCCAGCAACCCTTCAACTGGTTCACAGCTGGCTCACAACCTCTAGCATCAGAAAAATGGTGAATACAATCCTGCTTTCTTTTCCTATGCTGTTTGGAAAGGATTGGAGCACAGCATATGGGATGAGCTGGCAGGCTGGAAGAAACTTTCCAGAGGGCTAGATGTAACCCATGGATTGTAGTTTGGAGACTCCTGCTTTAACTGAAGAAACACCCAAAAGCACGAGGATTTGCAAAGGAGAAGAATGGGCAAGAGTTTTCCATGGTAACCATTCTTGTTCTAATGCTGCCTTGAATATAAATGATGATCTTCTAATTCAACTTAGAGTATTTTGTTATTTCTATCATTATAACTATTCCTCATGTAATTGGTACCAGGTTATGATGTCTTAATTCTTGATTCCTTATCCAGTGGCACTGAAATTCAAGATATGCTAGCCCATTTTGTTTTATAAGCAAAGTAATTATAAACTCTTTTATCTTGCTTTCTTATATTCTATTTAAGTTCTCTTTGAATTTAAGTATTGGTATGAGATATAGTTGCAAAATAATTGTGTAATTACATTCCTAAATAATTAATTGCAAATGTTACATTTTCCTTTCTAATTTTAAACTTCATCTCTTCTTAGCTCTGGCTGCTATACTTGGAGTAGTTCCATTTTTGGGCACATATTGGGCAACCGCACCTGCAGTTCTAGATCTTTGGCTTGTTCAAGGAAAAGGATATAAAGCTATGCTTCTCTTCATTTGTCATCTATTGCCAACTTACTTTGTAGATACAGCAATCTATTTGGATATATCTGGGTGAATATTTTAATTTTTTTCTTTACTATACTGAAAAAAGTTCTGTAACAGATTAGCCAACATCCAGAAATATTTAGATGAATTATTTATATTAACACAGGAATCTTTATTATGCATAATGTTAAAAGAAAATAAGCATAGATGCCACTCTAAAAATTGTGATGATTTTCAAAACCATATAGTAGTTATGGGTTAGGTTATTTTCAGGAAATAGAAAATTTATAAAATGTATAAAGTGTTCTTCTGTGTGACAAAAGACAGCATAGATAGTTGATGTGTGCAGTGGAAGGAATATCATTGGACAGAATATAAGTATAGAGTAGTTCTGACTTCCTTGATCACTGGCATATCTTCAGGAACAAATGTGACACATGGGGAAAAATCCTTAATAGAAGGATGGCTTAAATATTCATAGTTTTCTTCAACATTACTTACTTAGACCCTTTACCATGTTTCAAATTCTATTTTTCTCTTTTCTGTACAAGTCATGTTTTTGTGTCTGCTTGTGATTAGATATTAGATTATCTAATATTAGATAATGCTTGTGATTAGATATTAGATTAGATATTAACTTCCTGCTTTTTGTGTCTTCTGATAACCCAGCATATAAAATCAGTTTTCCACTGATAGTTCTTAAATGACATTGCAGTAATTTAATTTATTATTTGATTGCAGAGGAGGTCATCCTTATCTGACAGGTCTTGCAATAGCTGGTGGAACATATTACCTAGGACTGGAAGGAGCCATCATAGGACCCATACTCCTTTGCATTTTTATTGGTGCCTCTAATATCTACAGTGCTGTGCTTGTGAGTTCAACAAATTAATTATAGATGCATCAACCTTTGAAGATTTACTGGTAAACATTCATTCATCTATTTGTTAGATTTATATCCTGCCTTTCTTACAGAAGCCTTTAAAATATAACTTTTGGGATGCATTTAATCAATAACCTATTTACATTAATATTCATGTTAAAGCATGTGTGCATACATTAGTAGGTATTTAGTAGATATGTGGACACACACACAGGGAGAGAGTGAGAGAGAGAGAGAGAGAGAGAGAGAGAGAGAGAGAGAGAGAGAGAGAGAGAGAGAGAGAGAGAGAGAGATATGAAAAGATAAATTTCAGATTTCCTATTAAGGAAATAATAATAAAACTACAGTAAGGGGGAAAATTATTTGATCCACTGCTGATTTTGTACATTTGCCCATTGACAAGGAAATGATCAGTCTATAATTTTAATGGTAGGTTTATTTTAACAGTGAGAGACAAAATAACAATAACAAAAAATCCAGAAAAAAGCATTTCAAAAAAGTTATAAATTGATTTACATTTTAATGAGTGAAATAAGTATTTTGACCCCCTATCAATCAGCAAGATTTCTGGCTCCCAGGTCTCTTTTATACAGGTAATGAGCTGACAGTAGGAGCACTCTTTTAAAGGGAGTGCTCCTAATCTCAGCGTGTTACCTGTATAAAAGACATATGTCCACAGAAGCAATCAATCGATTCCAAACTCTCCACCATGGCCAAGAACTGTCCAAGGATGTCAGGAACAAGATTGTAGACCTACACAAGGCTGGAATGGGCTACAAGACCATCGCCAAGCAGTTTGGTAAGAACAGTTGATCCGATTATTCAAAAATGGAACAAACACAAAATAACTGTCAAACTCCCTCGGTCTGGGGCTCCATGCAAGATCTCACCTCGTGGAGTTCATGAGAATGGTGAGGAATCAGCCCAGAACTACACGGGAGGATCTTGTCAATGATCTCAATGCAACTGGGACCATAGTCACCAAGAAAACAATTGGTCACACACTACACCATGAAGGACTGAAATCCTGCAGTGCCCGCAGTGCTCAAGAAAGCACATGTACAGGCCCAACTGAAGTTTGCCAATGAACATCTGAATGATTCAGAGGAGAACTGGATCAAAGTGTTGTGCTCAGATGAAACCAAAATTGAGCTCTTTGGCATCAATTCAACTCGCTGTGTTTGGAGGAGGAATGCTGCCTATGACCCCAAGAACACCATCCCCATCATCAAACACGGAGGTGGACACATTATGCTTTGGGGGTGTTTTTTTCGCATCAATGGTGCGATGGATGGAGCCATGTACCATCAAATCTTGGGTGAGAACTTCTTTCCCTCAGCCAGGGCATTGAAAATGAGTCATGGATGAGTATTCCAGCATGACAATGACCCAAAACACATGGCCAAGGCAACAAAGGAATGGCTCAGGAAGAAGCACATGAAGGTCCTGGAGTGGCCTAGCTGGTCTCCAGACCTTAATCCCATAGAAAATCTGTGGAGGGAGCTGAAGGTTCAAACTGCCAAATGTCAGCCTCGAAACTTTAATGACTTGGAGAGGATCTGCAAAGAGGAGTAGGACAAAATCCCTCCTGAGATGTATGCAAACCTGGAGGCCAACTACAAGAAACATCTGACCTCTGTGATTGCCAACAAGAGTTTTGCCACCAAGCATCAAGACATGTTTTGTGAAGTGGTGAAATACTTATTTCACTCATTAAAATGCAAATCAATTTATAACTTTTTTTAAATACATTTTTCTGGATTTTTTGTTGTTGTTATTCTGTCTCTCACTGTTAAAATTAACCTACCATTAAAATTATAGGCTTGTCAGTGGGCAAACAAAATCAGCAGGGAATCAAATAATTTTTTCCCTCACTATAATAAAAATTAGTCTAGTAATGACATTGTCAAAATATGGATTTTTTCTTATGTAATTTCTATATTTAGTGCTTATGTGACTTGAAAAAATGTTTAAAAGGAAATAATAAATAAAAATAAATTGAAAAAGATAAAGATGCAAAATTATTCAGATGAAATAATTTGTAAATTGATATCCTTTCTGCTAATTATTTCACATTTATAAATTCTATGACTTTTTCAAGTACACATCAATGAGATTAAAAAACAAATCCCTGCAGATTTTACTCCACTAGCCATTGCTGACTATAGGGGGTGGTGCTCATCTCCGTTTCAAGGCCATTGAGCAAGAGCTGCAAAGACTTTTCTCCGGACACTTACTTTTCTATTCATTTTCCTAAATTGTTTGTTAGTTACTTTTTAGCTATTAAGAAACTTTGGATTGACAAGTCTGAAAATACCGGGTGAGTTGCCTTCAATCTTCAATCAATTCAATTAATACAGAATGAAGCAAAATATTTTAACATTGGACATATTGAAGAATATGAAGAAACTTGATGGTTTTAATAATTAAAATGGATATACAGAGTACAAATCAAGAGAGTGATCTGAATAATTTTCCTGTCTTGGATTTACAAAGCAGGCTTGTTAAAATCTATTAAAGCCTTCAAGAATTTTGTGAGAAGACACCAAATTTTTTTAAAAATAAATCAAGTTCTAGGACAGGGTCCCCAACTCCCATGCTGCGGCCCAGTACCAGGCTGTGGCCTATTCATAACAGGACCGCACAAGAGGCAGCCCAGTTCCCCTCTTCCTATCCCACAAATGGGCTGCCAAATCACCTCTTTCTGCTGCTCCAAACATGGGGAGCAGTGAGACGAGTGGGAGTGGGCCTTGCTCAGTTTTGTTGACTCACTGAGGCTGATTGCACAGGACACCAGATCCACTTTTAAAGCGTTAGGCAGCCTCAATGAGTGTAAAGGAGTATGAGACCATGCCCCTAAAGGCTTCTCTTCTCTGCGCCAAAAACTTTTGCAAATGGACGAAGGGCTTTGGGGAAGTGATCTTACTCTGTTTCAGGCCTTCTGTCCCTTTGCAAAGGCTTTTGGTATGGAGAAACCTGAAGGAGGCTTCTCTTTATTCTTGCACAAGTTGAGCTGCGTGTGCACATGCTCCAGCCCGCCTCTCATGTGGCCCAGTTCTCTCCCCAGCCGGGCCACTAAGCCACAAAGATTGGGGACAGCTGTTCTAGAACATTATTTGAAGGGATTAAGATCAAAATTGTTAAAAAAATATCTGCTGTTAATGCAGTTATCTATTGTAAAAAATTGTAAAAAAAAAAATGTTCAGTCATTTTGCCCCTTTAATACACTTTGATCAGATGACTAGATACAATTCAGTGGTACTTACTGACAGCTGTTCTATCTGTCCAGCTCTGCCTAACTTAGGACTTAAATATATTATTAAAGGACTCATTTACACAGTGATGCTTAAAAGTTTGTGAAACCTTTTGAATGTTTGATACAATTGATAGAAAAGGGAGCACTACACAATTTCTTACTATTTATTGCAATAAAGAGTAGTCGAGGACTACCTGTATTAGTAAACTTTTAAAAGTTTAAATATATGATTACAATTCTGTATAGTTTAAATATATGATTACAATTCTGTATAGAGTATATTCCAAACTGAACAATACCATATAATTATCACATTACTTAAAAAGGATGTGTTGCATTTCTAGTTTTTAAATTGTTTAATTTTCATTTTTCACAATATTTGTGTCAAGCTGCAAATACTGTCTTGTTTCCTTCTGGATTCTGTATTTTAAGTATTATTTTATTTATTTTATAAAGTATTTCTATTAAAAGCTTTCTACTATTCAGGAATTAAAAGACTGATTTAAAATATGAGTCCTTAAATTTTGGGTTTATTTTTACCCTTTTTTATTTTTTGTTGCTTTTTAATTAATAATACCACAAAAAAAGAGCAAAACACAAGAGTAGCAGTAATAGTGATACATACATTATTAAAAAGAAAAAACACCTATAAACAGTTCTTTAACCAAAAAAATAACATTTTATGTGTTTTTTTCCTCTGACAGTGGATTAAATATATTATTAAAGGATGCATTCAAAAAGTTTGTTAAACCTTTTGAATCATTGATATTTCTGCATAAATACGACCTAAAATGTGATCCGTTTTCCACACAAACGGAAAAGAATGTCTCACACTCATACCTGAGGACTATCCCATGATTGAAATCTTAATTTCTCCTTTAAATGAACAAATAATCGTATGGGTTCACATACTTTTGCCACACAGAAATAGGTAGTTTTAAATAATTTTTGTCAGTAAATAAAGGAATCTGTATAATGTTTTTGACTCATTTGTTTAATTGGATTTTCTTTGCCTAGTGTTATAACTTATGTGGAGAATTGTGATTACTTCCCTGGACGATTCCCCAGATACCTCTCAAAATGTCAGATTGGGGGAGGATGAAACCAGTTCTTGTCACATCAGGAGCTGAGTTGATTGATGGCTCTGAGCAGCTGTCTATGTAGGATTTGGCTGAGGCTTCAGGCAGGGAAAGCATGCAACTGCAGCCAGTCAGTGAGGAAGAAGAGGAACTGCCTTCTGCACCTGATCCAAGAACATGTAGGACAAAGAAAGACCAGTCTATCTTCAGCCAATTGGAACACAGAGATGTTTTGGCGTAATAGGCACTTAGGGTGCCTGGCCTTGGAATCTGATGCAAATTGGTGCTGAGCTTCTCTGGTTTTCATCATCTATCATTCTTCCCTCCCTATTTCCAATCACGTATAGACACAGCTTTATTGCCCATCTGTCCTACCCCTCCCCTTTCTAACTTTTGATGGCAGGATGCTTGTGAAGTGCCAAGCCGCACCAAGCAGACCTGACATTCTGCCCCCCTTGATAGAGTATCCTGCAAAGGAAAAAGAAGAGGAGAGGAAGAGATACACAGAATATCCAATTAGCATACAATTTAGATTTACCTGGGTATGGTTCATGGAATTTTTAAAGCCATCTGGAGGCCTTAATGTGTTAGAAATTGACCCATTCGGTCTCTGAGTGAGGAAAGTCTTTCCATGCTACTAGGTACTAGATTTCCCCTCAATGTGTATGAGAGTCCAAAATGTCTCTAAATTACCAAGACCTTTTTCAAGATGATGGACAATTTAGTACTAATACTCATGGAGAATAAAAATGGCTCTGATAGAGAGTATACTTTTTTTCTCAGAAAGACAAAAATCTTTTTCAAGGATTAATATGATATGGATTTTTTAAAAACTTGCAAATATAATTTTAAAAGTTGATATTCTACCTAAATCTTTTTCTGACCATAATCGAGTGCTTTTAGTACTTAGAGAAAGGAGTTTGCACTTTAGATGGAGACTAAATAAATCTATTCTGCAAAAGGAAAAGATTGTAAAAAGAAATTATTTGAGCATTTTGATAATAATTTAGATCATGTGTGTCAAACTTGCAATATCATGTGACGTGTCGTGATGTATTGTGACTTTTTCCCCATTGCAGGTAATGGGGTGGCATGATGCATCTGGCCTGCGGGCCAGCAGTTTGATACCCCTGCTTTAGATAAAGGGACAAGTTTAATGACTGTGTTGGATGCTAGTAAAGCTGTTATTTTATATAGTATAATCAATTAGAGAGGAAAAAACTTCAGGAAAAGATGCAAAAGATTCAGACAGAAAGAAATCGAACTGCAAAAGACATGGACTCTAAAATTTTACATTAAATTAAACTGCTACAGCAACAACTGTCCATATTAACAATACAAGAAATAGAAACAAAATTGAAGTATGTGAAAAAAGACACTTTGAGTTTGCAAATAAACCAGGAAGATGGTTGAGATATAAAAGAAGAAAGGAAAGGGAAAAGAGAATGATTAAGAAAACCTGTGAAGGTAACAATGTAATAATGGACAACGAACTTATTAAAAAGTTGTTTCAACTTTTATTCCAATTTATATAAAAAACAGGAGTTAGTCATGTCTAGAATAGATGTATATCTTTTAAGACAACAGTTGCCTAAATTATCACAAACCCAGAGACAACTTATGAATGACCCAATAACTACTTTTGAGATATCAGAAGATATTTAAAAAATGAGATCAGGTAAAGCTCCAGACCTAGATGGCCTTACAAGCCAATGTTATAAGTACCGGTATTTTGAGGATGAACTTCTTCGGCCACTAAAGGATATAATGAATGAAACATTACGGGGCGGGGGGAAATACCCCAAACGTGGAAGGAAGCAATATTGTGTTGTTACCGAAGGAGGGCCAAGATGCCACAAAGACAAGGAATTACAGATCAATTTTATTATTAAATAAAGACTATAAACTCTTTGCTGTAGTTTTGACACAAAGACTAAAGAAGATCTTATAAGAATATATATATGAATACCAGTCTGGCTTTCTGCCAAAAAGACAGCTAAGGGATAATGTTAGGATTGTTTGGAACATAATTGAATACTTACATATCATAATGAGAAACAGGCAGCTCTAATATTCTTAGATGCAGAGAAGGCCTTTGACAATCTAAATTGGGTTTTTATGTTTAAAGTGTTGGAAAAAATGGATTTTGGAGATAATTTTATTCCAGGAGTTAAAGCTGTTTACACATTACAGCAAGCAAAAATTGTCATTAATGATGACTTAACTAACTCATGTGAAATTCAAAAGGGCATGAGACAAGGATGTCCCTTGTCTCCTCTGCTGTTTATCTTGGTATTGGAAATTTTGAATAGAGATATTAGGCAAGATAAGAAAATAATGGGTATAAACATAAAAAAGAAGCTTATAAATTGAGGGCATTTGCTGATGATCTGGTTATATTCCTGCAAGATCCAAAAAATAATATAGATGAAGAAGTTAAATGAGTTTGGGGCTTTAGCAGGTTTTAAAATAAATAAATAGAAAATAACAATGCTGACTAAGAATATGTCATTTCAGGATAATGATATATTGATTAAAAAGTCAGGTTTTAAGGTTGAGAAAATTTTTTGGGGATTATATTGACAAACACAAATAGAAAATAGTTTCAAAACAGCTATGTGACTCTTTGGAATGATATCAAAAAGGACTTACAAAGATGGGACAAACTGCATTTATCACTATTGGGTAGAATCTCTGTAATTAAAATAAATGTTTTACCAAAGATGCTTTTTCTGTACTAGACATTATCAATACTTGCAACTGATACTCCATTTAAACAATGGCAAAGGGATATCTCCATGTCCATATGGCAAGGGGCATAAAAACCAAGAATTAGATATAAGCTATTTTGCAAGATGCTAAGGAAAGAGGGGGTTTGGATTTACCAGATTTGAAATCTGCTTGATTTAGAGGGTCATGAATTAAGGTTTGGATGGCACGTTTATTTGTGGTATGATAAATTAAAGTTAATATTGATTTTAACAATCACTTTGTTAGACGTGCGATACTAAGAGTTTGGAATAAATATAAAACAAGGATTTCCATAAAGTTGCCTCTTTGGGTGTCCCCCCAGGAAGCCTTTTTTAGAAAAGAAATTGTGATAAAGCTGGACTGATGGATTTATGATAAAACAATACTTTTCAACTCTGGTGACCCTACCATCAAGTCGAAGGAAGAGATAGAATCAAAGGGCTAAATCT